TTTAAGCATTACATGAAAAATTTTAGACACTAGATAGCAAATCCTACTGATGTTAGATGCAGAGTTTCATGTCTATAACATTATTTTCTTCTTAGATGCTCAGTAGAATAATTTATTTTCAGAATCATCCTGACACATTCTGACATTTAAGTGGTTTGATTTTATATGATGTATTATCCTTTAAAAAAAAAAAAAACAGGACAAATGCCAAATGCCTGTATCAACTTCAATATTTATAGCACAGAATTATTAATTAAATTTAGTTCTTCATTTGAAAAACAAGTTTGCTGGACTGTACTGGTTGGAGTGTGGATTAATTTAATGTAGTTTGAAATATAGGAATTACTAAATCCAGTTAACTTTTTATTATGCTATTTCTATTTCTTAAGGCATACACCCCCTGTTTAGAGATTTTTCTCTCCAGGCTAAGAAGATTTCAGTTCTTTTTAATTTGGTCTTCTTGGGCATGTTGCAAATATTCTACCTAGCTATGCTTGTCAGTTCTATTGTGGTAGAGCCAATTCTTCATTTTCTCTGCTCCTCACCTGTTTTTGTCTATTTATTTGTGTGTAAGATGTCAAAGGAAAATGAAAAGTAACACCTCAAAATACCACCTTGACAAGGAAAATGCCAACAAATTCTTTTCTGCACCTGAAGCTTTTAATTCTTTAATCCACCATGGAATGTTGCTTAATTACATATTTTATTATGCATAACTGAAAATTATGTACTTTAGTTTCAACAATGATATGAAAGCATGTATTGTTTATAAATAAAGAGAGACTGGTTTGTCTCTATTTTTTTATATTACAAATATTTGTGGAATTCTCACATGTTCTCCTTCTAAAACTTGGCTTTTTGAAAATGCTCTGAGAGCTCTGAGAAAAACTTCGTTTTAATGTTTTCTCTAGAAATCAGAAAATTCATTTCTTAAAAAAAAGATGATGTCATAACATTATGGGTAAAAACCATTGAACAGTTTAAATATTTTTGTAGAAATTTTATCTTAATGAGTTTTATGCAAGTATTTATTGATGGAAAAATGAAAATTGTTGAATTAGGTGATAAATCCATAGGAGTTCTTTGTCTCTACTTTTCTGTGTGTGTTTGAAATTTTCCACAGTAGAGTTTGTTTTTTTAAAAAACATTTGGTGTGTATAGGTCTTTGGCGGTTACCATTTCATGATGAAATATTCCATACACTTGATTTCAATTACTTAGTGATCAAAGTCTTCATATTAGCAAAATATGCATTACAATATATTTCTGAAAATTTTGAATTGCCATTAGGGTTTTTTTGTTGTGCATTTTCTGCATTTGAAAAAGCTTTGTTTAGGGAGAAGAGAGAGAAATGTGAAGATAGATGTGAGTTTGGGACAAATGTGGCCACTTAACAGCTGAACAAATCGGTTAACCTATTTGAGTTTCCTTTCCCTTGTCTTTGAAGTGAGAATGCTGTGCCTGCCTTAAATACCTCATAGTGGAATGGAGAGGTTTAAACAAGATATTTTTGTGGCAGTGCCTAATAAAATGAAGCATTCTACAAATGCTTTTTTCTAAATTTAAAACGTGTGAGGATACTAGGAAGGGAGACTCAGGAGGAGGAAGCCTTTGTGCTAGATCTAGCAAAACAAATGTTTGCAAATTCCCTTTGGAAATAAAGGTGGACTAGATGAAGCCTGTCCCCATGTTAAGATGCCATTCAACAGGTTTGTGCTCTGGACAGATTCTCATTTTGCATCACATTGCCACAGGCTAACAAATAAACATAAATATTTGAATATTCTTTAACATTCCCATCTAACAGGTATTGTTGGTTCTCCTGTGAAAGGAAAATCAGAGTAGCACATGGGACATCATTTTATCAGATGGAGGTGGTAGTGGAAGGGCATGCATTGAAGTGTCACCGTAATGAAAATTTTGTATTTGAGTACCGCAAAAAGCAAATATTTCTGATTCAACTCAAAGTAAATAATTTCAACATTTACCTTGTTGCAAAATGTTGTTCAAATTGTTGCAAAATAATGTTCAACATTTACCTTGTTGCAACATTTACCTTGTCACTTTGGAGTTTCTTTGCAAGTGTTTACTTTGCATAACATACTGCTCTAGTGCATTCACTCATCAACCACTATCATAGAGAGCAGGGTCCAGGTCAAGTGCTTTGATCACAGTCATTGTATTAGCAGATGAAAACAATTGTTGGGAAAAGGTAACCACACAGCCTTGGTACAAGACAAGAAGCTATAATTGAATTTTGGTAGTGTGCTTTTGATAGAATTAAATTTGGAGATAGATGCTCCCTATAAGTAGGGTAACAAGAAAGTCTTAAAAATGTTGCTCATCTTTTAAACAATAATTTCAAACTATTTTTATTTAACATTTGGTATTGTTAAACAGGTATAGTATTCAGGACATACACCTTCTACCACAATTTCTTTAATTAGGGTACTTTATATTTTATCAAAAATGTGCATATTAATAGATTGTAGTTTAGCCTTTGTCAAAAGACATGCAAGTATTTAGTATTTACATTAAAAGGATTGCCTCAGAAGAAACATTGAATTCATAATAAGCCCTCTTAAAAAGTAAAAAATATGCATAAGGAAGATTAGTATTGATATTTTCTGATATTTTTAGATGTGATTAAAGTTTGGACCGCCATTGGTTCCCACGCTATCATGCAATTTTCCAACTTGCTTTAACACAACAGTTCATCAGCTGTATTATAGGGAATACACATTTTAATTGCTCTTTTTGAAAATATCACCAGACAGTTCAGAATGTCTCATTTATTGAGAATATTGTGACAATCAAAGACCTTAATATCAGCCAGATGCTAACAATTGGGAATAGGGCAGAATTTAATCATGGAATGTATGGGATTCTCATTTTTACTCAATCTTGAACCATTTGAGAATGTTTTCTATTCAAGCTAGTATTTTTAGATAAACACAGATATAGATATCGCTACTTTGAAAAAAACACTTATTTTAAACTCAGAATTTCTTAGCACTAAATGCTAACCAATACACATTTTATACATAATATGTACAGACTTTGTTACCAAGCGCCACACAACTAGGGCATACATATTAGTTACCTTGGTTTTCAAAGGTTATGTGTCAGCTCTGCATGTTGTGTGGCAAGGAGATACTATCAACATTTTTTTTGCATAATGTGCAAGTATTATATGGCCACAGAGTGTAATACAAATTAGTGGCAAAGTGCTGAGTGAAGGGAATCCATGACAGATTCAGATGCACAAGGTTGAATATTACCCGTAAACTACCTGACTCTGCTAAGGTCTTAACAGCACAAAACGCTATGTCATGCCCAGCTTTTAAAAGTCTCTGAAATACATGGACACAATGAAGCTTGTTACAGGAATTTTATCATGCCACAGGTAACAGGAGGAGGACTGGCATGAGCGATAAATGACATTGGTGAGCAATATGGAAGATCATCTGGGCAAGTCTTTTCTAAAATGTGCCATCTTCCCTGAAATCAATTTTGCTCACTCCATCCGGGCCATCATTGTTTATTAACATGTGCATGTGTGTGTGTGTGGGTGCGCACTGGAGGGGGGGCACTTAAAATATCAAATTATCAAAACCATGGTGACTTTAAAAAAGTTAAAAAATCAATGTGAGAATTCTGTTAGCATTGCTATGTCGATTACCAACAGACATTCATTTCACTGAAAACACTATTTCAAATAATTTAGGTTATTAGCAATGGAAAGTTATTTGCAACCCAATTTCTCCTTCCAAAAAGATTACTGAATTTCATACCTATTTGACACCTTGTGTTAGGGTTGGGCTGGTTAAAAATCCAGCCTTGTTCCTTAAACTTAGGGGATATATAAGGAAGAGAAAGACAATTTAACTAATGGTATTCTAGTTTCTATTTCTTAAATACATTAAATCTAGTTTTCTTAATTCAAATTCCTTTGGCTCAAGTTATTACTTTTCTGAACTCTAGTGAGCAAAAATGTTTGAGAGTTGTTTTCTTCATAAAAAGAAGTGGCAACTTTTCAGTACAATTTTAAGTTTGCAACCAACCAGCTGCCGTCAGAGTAGCTTAGCTGTGCTTCAAAAGCAAATGGAACTTTAAAGCTTCTTTGAGAGTTTTCAATGATTCCATTTTAGTTTCTAAAGTACAACATTAAAGCAGCCCAGTTGCCTACCAATAAGCTCATCAGGGCCTGAGAAAATGGTAGGCAGAAAGAGAAGGGCAATTGCAGAATGGTATCTCAAGCAACCCAGATACCCTTACTAGCATCTAGGAAACCTTAAAGTGAAGAGGCAAATAAAAATCACGCAAAACTGTAATGCTGGCCTCAGTCCTTTCTGTGACCATTAGCACACCTCATTTTATATTCTGGCATTTTACTAAGTTGAATGTTGCAAGAACTTAGAAGACTGTATTTAAATTCCAGGTGTGTTATTCCTATTTTCTTCATGTAGCTCTTATAAGTTATGACATACACAATCAAATGAGCTTAGTTATTAACTTATTCCAAAAACTTGTTAAAAAAAAGAAAAAAAGCTTACTAAGCAGTTTTTATACAGAAGGTCCATTTTCCCCCTACTTATTTTGATACTATTAATGGACTTTAAAAATATTTGTACATTAGCTTAAGGAAAAGTGTTGCTATAATTGAAGTATTGTGAAATAAGCACAGACGAATCCACTCTAAGAACATAACTGCTAGAGACGGGATTTATGTTTTTGTTGGAGAGTCTTTTGACCATCCTATCTCTATTTATTAAGCAAAATGTTAACCAAAACAGGTTATCTTCATTGTGAAATTTCATACCTATTTAAAAATGAGCATGTGTTTGTGATGTAAATTTACAGTGTTTCAAGTAACTTTTCAATTGCTCTTTTCAAAATCAGTTAAATAGCAAGAAAGTATTAACATGCACCTAAATGAGAGGGCCATCCTTTGACTTTTCTTTAAAGTTACTTCACATAAGCAGACAAACCCTACCATGTCATACCATACAAACAATTTTAATTGTGTAGTTACAGTCAATAACCACTCCTAGGCAGAACATTTCTGCGTAAAGAAAATTGTGATACACTTATAAAAACAGCCAGCTGTAACAAAATAGCTGGTGTTTTCATAGCCATAAACTCATAAAAAAGAAATACACCTTTATACAGAAATTTTATACAGATGTAGCTTTAAAATTGATTGTAAACCAAAGGAAGACACATTGCAAACATCAATTATTTTCACATTAATTGCATAATTTTCTAAGGTGATCTATTAGTTTTATTTACCTAAGCTTATTTGCATGATAGTAAAAATTGCATACAACAATAAGAGTGAAGCTTATAGTATGAATTGCTTGGATAACATAGAGCACTTTTTATAGGCAACTGTGTAAAGCACATTTTCTCTATTTAAAACTTTTAAGACACTTTGTTTTACTGCCCATCAAAATACATTTATAAATAGAAAAGAATCAGTATGGTAACAAGAGAAGCAATATTACATTTAACGGAAACTTCCAAAAAATTAATTACAACATGATGCTGCAGGATCTACAAATAAATAATGAGGACTAAATTGTGTTTCACATTTTCTTTTCCTTTTTTTAAAAAAAATCATGTAACAATGAGAATGAAAAAAAATTACAGTGAACTTTTATTTCCAAAATAAAAACAAATTTGAATTACGGCAGTGCCATATAATACAAGGCATTTGTTGGCATATGTCATCTTTAAACTGCATTCCACAGTCTATAGTTCTTTTGTAACATACAATAGAGTAACAAACTCTTTTTTTTTCTTTTTTTTTTTTTTAAATAAGGGGCAAGTTTCCAAAGATCAGTGTGGAGTGCTACAGAAATAATTATAGGAGAGAAAATCATAACCACAGAAGTTATAATGCTTGTTTGAGGCTCCAGAATAATAACTAAAAAAAAAAAAAAAAAAAAAAAAAAAAAAAAAAAAAAATCACTGGTTTCATGCTTACGGGTGCACACTTTGGTGCATCCCGTGAACACAAATTTTAATACCAAACAATCCTTGATGCTTCACCTGGGGCTGCCAAGCAGTTTGTAAAACAGAGTAAAACATTTAGTGCAGTCTGTATTATCCTTTTCCAACTTTTCTGTTTGTGCAAGTTTTTGAAGATTCATTGGCCAAACAATGAACAACAAAGGTTTTCTGAGAGAATACAAGGTGAACTTTTCATTTTGTTAGTAGGTACCAGTGGAATTGTTGAACTAAACGAATACTTTTATCTCAGTCTTTCAAATCAGCATTAATGTCTGTGTTTCCTTCCACTGACAGCTCTTCTTCTAGTTTCACTGAAAAAAGGGTGTTAGTATTTTTATCTTGGACACTCTCTTCCAAATCCTTCAGCAGCTCCTCTTCTTTATATTCTGCCACATCAACCTCTAAACCGGAATTGTCCTTCAGTTTGCCATGGTGCTTGAGATAGTACCGCTGGTTCTGAAAGAACTTGATGATGGTGTACTTGGGAAGGTCAAGCTGAGCGGACAGAGTCTGGATGGCCTCTTCATCAGGGTACAGGCCTACGTCTTGTATGAAACTCTGGAGGATTCCCAGGGCTTCCACTGAAATTTTTGTTCGTGGCCGGGTCTTCTGCCGGTTCTCCTCATCTGACTCTGCTGGAGAGGCCACCGTGGGTTGTCGTGGGGGGAGCCGAGGGCCTGCCTGTGGTTGCTGCTGTGGCTGTGGAGGCTGCGGCGCCTGCTGCTGCTGTTGCTGCTGCTGCTGTTGCTGCTGCTGTTGCTGCAGAGAAACAAGGAGACAATCAGAGCTCTGCTAGCGTGGAGCTCCACACAAAGCCGCCTAGAATCAGGAAACGTGGTCACAAATCCCGCATATAGCTTCTTTGATAGGGACGAAGAATTAGAACAAAAAGGAAGGCCAGCTAAATGGCCCACAGCATTTAGAAAAAAATCAAAAATGATATGAACTAGGAAGGGATGAATTAATATGGCTATGCCCCCCAAATGAATAATATGGGGGGCTACTGCACTTACTTATCAGACATCAGTGGAGGAAGTGAAAACTCAGTGCTCTGAAAATGGGAGCCATAAACTTCACTAGAAGGACACGCATCAAAGGCGAAGACGGCACATCAAATTATGATGTAAATAATTAACAAAGATTTAAAATGAAGATTGAGAGGCTAGGATTTCAAAGACATTTTAGAAAGGTGAGCTACAGAGCAGTAGGGAAAGAAATTCATGTTCTGCTCCGTTTCACTGAATGGCCAGGAAGAACGGAAGATGAGCGTATGCTCTTATTCAATGTTATCTGTCATGAGACCAAAGGATTTTTAAGATTCTCGCATTTGCGATTTTTCTATCAGACAGTTCCAATTTAATACACACACAATTTCTTACCAAATTGCGCTAGGCTGACACTGCAAGTTTTTTTCTTACCTCAAAATAAAGGTTCAATCCCCCATACGACGGCTAGCGAATTGTTTTGTCTATAGTAAACTCAGATGTGATTAGGATTTAAATTTAGTGTATACAGACACTTTTTCATAATTACTATATGTGCTATAATTTCCATACACAATTATACATAAATATGTGACACATGCACATACTGTATACTCGATATCCATAATTCTTACCAGCAAAGCAAATCAACCTGAGTAAGTGGCACAATATTAGAATGCTGATATCGTCTCTACGCATTTCCTTTTATAGCTCTAAGAAGGAATTTTATTAAAAACAATTTACATTTTCAAATGAGTACTTTTTAAAATTACTTAACATACATTTTTCTCTTTTTTGTTTCTGCTAAACAGTAAGTTTTTCAGGCTTTCATGGTTATTTTACTGCTTGAAATCCTAAAGGGAACCTCTCTGTCAACTTGTTTTAATACACACTCGAGAATTTTTTTATCCTGGTAAACAACTCTATTATTGTTTTTAGCTATATATATATATATATACACGCACACACGTGTATCTATATATATTTTTACAGAAATATAAAAAATAATGCAGGTGATTCAACAAAGGTAGAATTTTAGGACTCTGGAAGGCAATGGCATTTTACTTTAAAAGAGAAAGCTAAAATTATCCCCTTTAACAAATATAAGCTCTACAGCTCAAGTTCAATGACAAACGCTTCCTAAGCAATTGGGGCCCTAAGAGCACTATGGACTACCTGATCCCAGAACTCTTCCATCTAAATTCAGAGGAGAGTTCCTTTATGAGATGAATGGTGACAAGTCCCATAGCATGACAAAGCACAAGGCTGCATCTGCTGGCACAGTGGGCTCTGGCCATGGCCATGGTATATCCTTTGAAAATCCTGACCTGGGGAGCAGGTCTTCATTTCACTCCCTCTCTGTGTCCCTTGCTGGCAGAGGTAACTGTGCCCGCTCACCTGAGGAGCAGCACTGAGCCATGGTGCAGGGGTCGGCAGGCCTGGTAAGAAAACGCCTCTAGACTCTCCTTTCCCAAGGGTGCTGGGAGAGGGGCTCTAAAGGAAAGACAAACAGATATGACTCACCCCTAACCTACATTCTGTGAAGTATGGGGAGACAGAGATTAAACACAAGGTGAAGGAAGGGCCAAGGACGATAAAGCAAGATTCCAATTAAGCTTCCCTCCCCTCCTCTTTCTGGACAGAATCCAATGTACAAAATTGTGATTCTACAAACTTCCTTTACAGTAACAGCAGTAGCTCTTTTCCTCGGGGGTACTGTGCTATTAATTAAAAAAATAGGTGGTTTTAAATTGTGATTTTTAAAAAACACACACAAAAAAACTTTAAACTCTCAACACAAAACCCAATACCAACAAAGACACACTTGCCAAACAAGGAGTGTAAAAAGGGGATTCCTGTCGCTTTGGGGGTTGGAAGATGAAGAAAGAGGAACACAATACATATGTTGGAAAAAGTATGTTAATCTTCAGCTTATCCCCCTGAGCAAGAGGGCAGTGTATTGTTATCTCTTGCTAAAAAGCCTATGTTTAGACTGGCAGGAGGAAGAGAAACGCTAATTTTCCTGCTAAGTTTAAAGCTTTATTTACTTATTGCTATATTGAATTGAACAAGGTAAACAAACCTGAATCTGCTCTGCTGGAACATGGATAATGTGGGGCGGCCTGTCGCCATGGTGATGCACTGCGTTGCTCTCCTGTTCGTAAATGGCATCGCGTTCTGGCTGAGGAAGACTGAGGAACCTTCGGATCATGGAGAGGTTCTCCCACAGGGTTCTGTTTTCTGGAGAAGGATCTTCCTTCCAGCGTAACAGCTCACATAACCATCCCTTAGAGACAAGGGCATAATAGGTTAGTTTGTGCCTATGGGGTGGGGAATGGCATTTTCCAATAGGAGCTAAAAAGGAAAAACCTTATGAATTAACTTTTTCATAAGCTCAGAACACACTAATCTGCTTTAAAATTTGTTTTTAACTTGTTAAGAGAGGTTATCTGTGGCTGTCAAGGAGGCAGACTCTGTTTCTAATCAAAGTTCAGATTTGCATCTCAAGGGAGGGACACATTTTTCAGACTCTGAGGGTAAGAGAGCATTTATCACAGATTTTGTAATATATGAAATAGGAGAAAAAGTTGATGTGCTTCAGTCTTGCGCAACTTTCCTGTCTAATGAGTGGCTGGCCATCTGAGGATACTGACGTGCTTAAGGGGCAAGACAGATTTTAGAAATATTTTTTTTTAAAAGGATTTCCTAAGCTTGTAATTTCTGGATTTGAAAGAAAACTGTGTGAATATTTATGTGTGTGTGCATGTATGAAACAGAAAGGACATGTGCAATTGTACCAGCACGAATGTTGTCCAGTATAAGGCATGATGATTACAATGGGCATTAGAATAATTTGCTATGAAACAATTCTTTAAAAAGAGACACTGGGCCTGCAGTGGCTAGTGCATGTAATCCCAGCACTTTGGGAGGCTGAGGTGGGTGGACCACAAGGTCCACCCTGAGAAGATTGAGGCCATCCTGGCCAGCATGATGAAACACCGTTCCTACTAAAAATACAAAAAAAATAGCTGGGTATGGTGGTGCATGCCTGCAATCCCAGCTACTCGGGAGGCTGAGGCAAGAGAATTGCTTGAACCAGGGAGACGAAGGTGGCAGTGAGCCAAGATTGAGTCAAAAAAGAAAAAAGAGACAATGGAGTCTATTTTTCTGCTTACTGCAGTGGGAGCATATGATTTGTCAGGCAAGAATTTAATAAGTTTCTTGGGCTAAGAGAAAAGGAAATGTCCAGTGACTGCCAAAATCTGAACCTCTCTGATGCTTCCAAGGCCCAGTTTTTTACCCTGGGGTTATCTATCAAGAACTGAGTGGGCATCAGAATACATTTTCCAGTCATCTCAAGTCTTCACCTTGGCTGCCATGGTGGACACTAAACAATGGAGCTCAAGGGAAGAGTGAGGGTGTTCGACCCAGGCCCCCACCAAGCAAGGCAGCCTCTGCTGTTCAGTTGCCTGCTATGCCTCTCACCTGCATTCTGTTCTGGAGAAATGTCTTGAAGCCATCTCTACACTTCTTCACTGACCTCCTCACCCTAGATGCCCAGTGACCGGCTGACCCAGTGGCACAAAGTCCCTGGCCCTTTTTCTGAAAATGGACGACTTACTCTACCCTTCAATCTACTCTCTAGAGACAGCCATCCCCATTCTTCTTGCTCCCCCGCCCACCAACCTAGGGCTAGACTTTGCCCAAGACCACATCCTTACTGGACCTCCTGCTCTTCCCTGTCCCTCCTCCTTTCCTCCCAGGGCCCTCACCAAATCATGAGCACCTGACTCCCATCCTAGGCTCTGCTTTTAGGGAACTTGATCTAAGACAAAGACATTTCTTAGAAATTTTAAGCAAATTAGTTGGATGAAAAGGGAAGTACTGTTTTTTTTTATTATGTAATTTTTAGATCTCGTCAAGGAGGGTTTTATTTTTTATGTTATCAGGGGTGAGGTCAGAGGATGGCATGATTTTCCTTCCCTTCTCAAACTGAAACCATTAGAAAGAAAAATTCTTCTTTGACTGCAGTGTATAGTGGAAAGAAACATGGCCTGTTCTCCCCAAAATGGCCTACTTGAAGAAAAGGTAGAAAACTGACATATAATCTTCCCAAGGCCTATCTGTTAACCAGCCCATGGTGACTGCTGCTGTATCTCATTACATCTACTAGTATTCCTATTCAACAGGTCTTTTAATTAAGCAAATATATGCATGGGGATGGTCATGTAATCATGCACTCATTTGATGCCACTGAATGCATAAATCAAGGTTAAGACAGCAGGCAGTAAACTGAAGATTTACCTGAAAGACTGTTAGCTAAATAAAACATAAAAATCACTGTGATTGCAGTGTCACTGAACTTGCTTCTCTTCTAACCATGGCGATTCTATGTTTATTTCCAGAATACTATAATATGACATATTTCAGCTCTATTTATGTGAATACATTAACTACAAAACTGTATGTGAGCATTTGAAGTATCTGAGACCTACTTGCATATGGTGCCCTAGAGATGTTTACTTAGCTCTTACTGGTAAATATTTGCCATCTGAATTAAGCCATGAAAATATACATTTTCCGACAACTAAGCTATTCTTTATACTTTACTTTTACATTTTGTTGCTGTGTAGGTTTTAGATATGTATCTTCCTGTAGGCTTTAATATTAACTATGGGTGAGACTACTTTCCATCTCCTACTTGTCTGCCTCCTTTAGCCATCACAATTGACAGGATCCCTCTACCTGAACACAGAAAATCACACAGTTTTATATACCTTTCAAAAGAAGTTAGAGGTTCATAAAGAAAAGAGCAGATTTTTTTTTAACTTGGCTAGTATTCTACTATTGCAATAAATGCTAAACATTGAACATTTAAGAATTTTTTTTTAAGAAATAAATGCTTGTAACTAAAAATTGCTAAAAGTTAAATTAAGAATGATTCATGTAAGAAAAGCTTCTTGGAGAGAGCTGAAAAACTCCAGTGATTTTTCACATCCTTTAGAAACTTTTTAAAGTAATGCAGAGATCAGTTAGCACTTGGATATATGTGAAAAAACATGTGGATCACAGATGTTCTTTGGAAAAGAAAATCATTAGTTCTTTTAAAATGGCTAATAATGATAGCTAATTCCTAAACAATCACACTCATGCTGGTTTAACAAATATTTCAGAAAAAGAGCCCTGACTCATTCAACAAATATTTTGCTCATATTGTCACTTCTGTGTCTCTATACTTAGGAGATGGATCCTTATTTTTATTAATTGCCCATGACTAACATAACATTTCCAGTAGTCTGCTATTAACCTCTGCCCTTAAATAATACTTCTAATTCCTTATCTAAAAATAATTTGATGAATTATAAGTTGAAGCATGCCTCCGCTAGCCTTTCAAGAAACATGATGATTTAAGAGACTGAAATCAGATGCTTCTTAGAAAAATATTTAACGGTGCAGCTGGGAACTGTTAGCTGTACAAGGGTATTCCAAAAAAATTAAAAGGGGGGGGGTTGCTTCTCTTGATGTGCATCTCTCTTAAAAAATAATGGAAAACAGACATTTTGACACATTAGCTCTTTGTCAGTGTAGAAATAAATTGGCTCATTCCCAATTTATACTGGCAAAAATAAGATAATTTATTCTAATGCTATTTAAATACCTTGGAATATTTTGACTACCTCAAATCCTATTGATTGTTACTCTATTAATAATGACAGTAATCTGATCTATGTTTTTGCAGAAAACAACTAAGAAGCCAAATGCTAATTCTTCAATACCTCTTCCTAGGTCAGTTTTCCACAAGTGTTATTGTTAGAGTAAACAAACAGGAAGAAGATGAATATGTGAAAGTATTTTTAATATCTGACAAAAGTGATTCCCAAAGTATGTACTAGTTTTTAAGTGATAACTGCATTTATGTTTGGGGTGGGGGGAGAGATGAAGAATGAAATCCAGTGCTTTGCTGCAAAAAACAAAAACAAAACATAATTACGTTTTTAAGAGAAGTCTCTGGGACTTGATATACGTAAGGCCATAGGCAGGAATAGAAAACTGCTCTCTAAATTAAATTAGCTCACAACTGTTTTGAACAGTAGAAAAGACAGGGGACTAACAGCCTTAAAATAATGAGACCAATCCATTCTCAGAAAACTAAAATGGTACAAGGAACAACCTCAACTTTAAATGTAGTAAATTTGCCAAGCAACATTACGCTGCATATAAAGAGGGCAAAATATAAACAGTAGCCACATGTAAATAAATTAGTAAAACTTTCAGGATGTTACTACTTTTCAAACTGACAAAGTTTAATTTGACACCTTCTGTTCTAAACCCTTTGTTTCTATTCAAAATCACGCCTTGAGCTGTTGCGATCCATCACAGTGCTCCCCCTATTACTTAAAAAAACTGGCATGGACCCTGAATAAGCTGAAAATGCCATGCAGATGAATTCTGAGATAATATGTTCAAACCTGTTATATACAACACAAATCCTGTAAAGTTATGGATTGTAAACCTACATTTATTGAGAACTAAAAGTCTTAAATCCATCTGCCACAAAGGAAATACTGTTGTGTACTTTATAGTAACCAAGAACCATCTGCAAATGTCTTGCTAACGTAAGCAAGAAAATGGTGCAAAAGATGCTAAACCTAAGATTGCATGAAATAAATAACATTCTTTTTGACTGGTTTTGGTTAGGGATCTATTAAAGAAATGTAAGACTGCGGGGGGGGGGGGAAGGAAAAGAGAAAATGCAGAATAACTGCCAAATCAGTACTGCAAAAAAGCAAAACAAACTCAATGATAACACAATGGCAATTTATTATGGTCCATGAAACACACGACTGTATGCTCATTTTAAAGGAAAAATTAGCAGTTCTAAACTCAATATTCTAATGATGTGCTTTACTGACAGAATCTTGTTGTACCACATTTAAATAAAAATCCTGGCACCTTCATCTCTCAGCTGCTAATTTCCAACCAAACTCAATCTCTGATTTCCACTCCACTCTTTTTAGAATATTTAATTCAAGTCAATTCGCTTCTAACATTTTAACAGATAAGGGGTGCACAATGATTTTAATTGAGTCAAGAAAGTAACCTCCTTTCATAAATGAATTTATTGTACTTTATAAAGCCTCACACGCATAAAAAGAGAACCCCTAACAAGGCCTGTTCTGTGACAAAGCTGGGAGTATGTAACATAACTACTTTTCCAGGAGAAAACAGACTTTGGTATTCTCCGAGAAAAAAAGTCATTTAATGCAATATACATATATGTATATA